GTGTGCGTGTGTGTGTGTGTGTGTGTTGAGTGGCAGAGATAAGCAAGAAAAGAAAGATAAAAATTAATCCAATACGGAGCCTCAATTCTATTTTGCCTGAGATATTGTAATATTTATCAAGTATTTTGTTTCACTAAGTTTAGAATGGTTCAAAACTTACAAAGAATTAAGATTTAAGTGTTGAACTCATGTAACCTATGGTCTGATTCACTATTCAGTTTTGACTACTACATTCTGATTTTCTAATTTGGACATGGAACTTTTTCTTTAAAATAAAAAAAAAGTGGGGCGCCTGGGTGGCTCAGTTGGTTAAGCGACTGCCTTCGGCTCAGGTCATGATCCTGGAGTCCCGGGATCGAGTCCCACATCGGGCTTCCTGCTCAGCAGGGAGTCTGCTTCTCCCTCTGACCCTCTTCCCTCTCATGCTTTCTCTCTCTCATTCTCTCTCTCTCTCAAATAAATAAAATTTAAAATAAAAAAAAGTTCCTTCCCTATATATCAAAGTCAAAGTTAAAACATCAAACATTGTATTAAGTTGAACTGGGCATTAGAACAAGAGAAACATGAGAAGAGAAATGCCCAGCAAGACTTAGTTTTTCTCTCTTACTTTCTCTCGCTTATATTTATGCATTTACTTAACTGTGTTTGATGAATTTGGTGTCTTCTGTGGTTGCATAGTAAAGTTTTCTTTCTTTTTTTAAATTGAGATATAATTGACATAAGTAAAATTTTTATTAAAGAAACAAAAAGAATGGTGGTCCACTTCAGACCAGTTAGAGTACTTCCACTCAGCATTTCAGTGTTAAGTTTGTTTTTATGACCTCCCCTACCCAAGGCTTCATTACTTTTTGCTCTTAAGGATAATCTTAGTTTTCAAAAGGCATTTTGTAAACTCATAGTGTGGAGGGAGTAGGAAAGAGTACAGAGATTCAGAGGAAGCAGTTGCAATTCCAAGCAAGCCCAAGTTATAGGACTGTGTCATGCCTTAATTTATATAGCATTTCTGTGTACCACACTGGGATATTAATAGAGTCAGAACTACCCTTTGCTGTATTACCACTGCCTTTTCTTAAGTATTCTGTTATATGCTTCTGGTCTTGGGATCATTGTTTTCTCTTCTACAGTGTATTTTGGGAAAAGCTTCTCATGCATATTATTGATTGAAGGCGAGTAAATGTACTTTCAAGTATTTCCTATGTGCAAAGTATTCTACTTTACTGCAGGAAACTGGAGGTTGAATGAGGTTTAGTTTGTGTTCTTGAAAGTGACCATCTGGGGGCTACATTTGGGACTCCTCTCTTAGTGAGTAGTACTGTCTGTACTCATTAACACCAGATTCCTATTCAGATCCTTATCCTTTCTGCCTAGGAACTCATCTTCTCTCTCCATCCCAGTCATTTTTTTTGTTCCATGAGAGAAATTTACATCTGCGTATTGGCATTTCCTACCTAATCGAAGCAAGCAGAAAGAGCCTTAGTACTGTTTTTGATCTTGTATTATATAATAAGTTTGAATATAATCTAGATTTTTGCTAATGATTATCTCTCTCTCTTCTGGAGATAAATATTCGTAGTAAGTCCATGTCTAGAAAAACCATCTCTGTCTCAGAAGAACTCAAAATTGAGTTCCTTCATAGATTCCTCCTTCCACTTACTACAGATATCTGCACACTGCTTCCTCTGCTAGGGGTCTTTCTCATATTTCCAACACTCTCTGGCCTTCCTCCCATTTTAGGGTCCTCTTCTCTTCATCTGATGGTCAGTAGGCATGAGTTCTTTCTGTGTCTCTTCCATCTTCCTTCTCTTTGTATCTCCTCATAAGGACAGTGTTTTATGACAATTAATGGTTTAGATCGAGTGATGCCAGAGTCCAACAATAGGTCTTTGTTAAGATCAAGTGCTGCCTTCTGTCTGCTCTATAGAGGCTGAACCTAACCTCTTGAGGAGCAGGATCAGTACTCTCTAAAGAAATCTGTCTTTCTTCTTTCTCTGCTGCTCTCGCTTTTCCTCTTACCACCCCAACATTACGGTGTGAGTGTTAGAAAATCTCCCAAGCCCGCTACCATCTGGGTAAACGGGCAGACTTTCCCATCCCCACTTCAAGTGTTTTGCATATGGTATTTAGGAAGATTATTAAACAAAAATGAAATAGATTAAGAAATGAGCATAAAAGAATCAATTCTCTTGAACTGTGGTCGCATAATGGAAATCGACGACCATGAATGAACCCTTGTACTGAAGTTATGAACAGCAGAGCTAATGCACTGCCATGAGTTCATCTTTATTATTGCATTACACCTGAATCAATTGATAAAATAGCCTTTTTTTTTTTAAAGCAAGGGATGGCACTTAATTGAATAAAAGTCAACTTAATTATATTAGCAGAGGCCAACAGTACTGCTGACAGCGGAAAAGGGACATTGTTGAACAGAGTGCCAGAGCTGGTCTACACATTTCTGCACATTGTTTGGTTGACAGATATTGAGGGCTGGTACATCATCTAATTAGATTACAGATTTCTATTGCTATAAGTGAGAAATGAAGAGAAACATCTCTTCCTGGTAACATATCAGTAGAGATGTGTAATTTCACAAGTCATCTTAGGAAAGAAGTGTCCATCTGGGTGATCAGTGTGTCCTTTTGTCAATTTAATTTATTCTTCCCTATTCGGTGTGTCTTGATGTGACTGCTGTGTGTCTATTTTCTCAGCAGTGTATCTAGGAAGTGGTAACTGCAGATGTGTGAGAAGCAACAGAGTTCTAGATTACAGTCATCACAAAATGGTGTGCTTGCGAAATTAAGAAAGTGGGGAGGGTGTTAAAAATAATAAACAGAGGGGTAGGATTTCGTGGGCTACTTACGGTTGGCAGATTGTTTTATCAATAGAGTAAGAGTACTCAGTGTAACTCTGTTTCCATGTTCTTCTAATAACTCTGGGGGCGTCATACCCGCATGTCGGGGTGGAGACCGCGCAGTAGGCATTGACTGCACTGTGCTTTGCAACCTGCACTTGGAGTCATCTGCCATCTGACGCCAAGGAAACAGGGAACAACAGTGTCAGGGCAGGGACTGTGGGGACAACTTCTGTTTATCACTCACATACTCGCACCCTGCATGCATCTGTGTGGAACTCATTTATGGATGATAATGATGCTGTGAACTTGGTTTATCTTAATTCGATTTACGATTTTTGGATTATACAGCTGATCTGAAAATCATCAAGACAGCATATGAGATGATCGCTTATGACAGAAAATGATTTTGTGATCAGAACATTTTAAATCCCTATTTTATTGTTTAAGTTTTTTTTAAACCAGATGTCTAGAATGTGAATTTGTTTTCTCTCTCTCTCTCTTTCTCTCTCTTTCTCTCTCTCTGTCTCTCTCATTCTTGCTTTCTTTTGTGATCGATTTAGCAAAAGATTAGAAAGCTGATCTTATTATCACAAGGTAAGCTCAGCCTTCCTAAGTGCAGTGTGGAGAGGGCTGCTCCCCTCTGCCCCTTAACACCCGGAGTGCTATATATTGTCTTGTGTGGAAAGGTGGAGAAGTCTTTCCTACCTTTCTTGTCTCTGAGGCACATACCTCTCAACCATCTCTAAGAAATTAGCCATGCTTGTCACCAAATGGAGTGACTCATTTTGGTCTTCCATACGTTTTAATTATAATCAGGAGGTCTGTTGAATGTTATACTGGCCATTCTAGGTTATTTCTACTATCACAATTACTTTTTCAAGATGTAGAGCTTCTGCCATTATCGAGAAGCTTTTATGTATCTGTGTATTTATTTATTGGTTTATTTTTTGGAAGGGTAGCCTTCAATTTAGGTACTTGTCAAACATGTGAGCCTTTGCAGGTGGAGAGAGGTATATGCCCAAGGGCACTTTAAAAATAAATGGGGGATGTAAATACAAAGGCAATGTTTTCAGATAGATAATAACATATTAGGCTTTGTAAATCATGACATCCCTATGGATGCTGTGGGACAAATCCTATCTTTTCTTTTTTTTAAACACAAGCAAAGCACTTAGTAGAGTAAAAGTTTTGCTTGTCTAAGAAGTACATTGTTAAAAAAGGGGGACCATATATTGTGCTTGATTTGGGGGGTATTTATTGTGTGTTTTCTTTTTTGTCCCTTTTGGGTTTTTTCTGTTGTTTAGTGTGATTTTTTTAAAGGGTGGGTGGATTTTATTTTAAAAAACAATTTCTATTTTTCAGGCTTTGTTTTAAAGGATTAAATTTTAAAATTTGAATTATTCAATAAAAGCATTTTCAACTCTAAAATGCAGCAGCTTCTGAAAATGACATGTAGTTTACTAGTAGATTAGTTGAGATCCCAAATTATTCTGAGGAAAGGGATTTATGATACAGTCTGTAACCTTATTTCAAATTGCTAATCTATAAAACTAAATTTTTTCCTTCCTAAAACATGAAGTATAGAAAGGCGAGGGGGAAGATGTCATTATGTTTTAAAGTTAAACTGAAATTATCTAGACCATTTACTTTTTTAAAAATGGATCTTTTTTATACCTCTAAATGAAGCGCTGTAGGCAAAAAAAAAAAAGGGCTTTTTTTTTTTTTTTAGGTGTAAATTCAAAGTATTCAGTTTAGGCAAGCAGCAAGTTTCCATTCTTTTATCCTATTTAATATATATTCTGACATCTCTGCTGTGAGATTCTGTGCAGCTGATGCTGCTACCTAGTAGAGCTAACAATATCATTGAGAAAAAGGTGCATGGGTTTGCATTCATTCTACCATTGAAGAATTTTACTCTTATAAAAATTATGTTAATGAAAAGCTCCCCTTATTTGCACTCCCCACCACCACTTATTCCCAAGTCCTGAGGATGTAGGGCAATGTTTGCTTTTATAATGGTGCAATTAGCAATGAATGTGCTTATTTGATGCCTGGTGGAAGCTGAATCAATTTTAAAATGTTCTCCTTTTTCTCACCCCTCCCCACTCCCTGTACACCTCCCCCCCCTTCCCTCTTGTTTTCCTAGACACAGTGCCAACATAAACCTGCATCGCAAACTGTTGACCAAAGAACTCGATGACATGGGCCTGGACTCAGCGCAGCCCTCCCTTAGCAAGGACCTCCGGGATGAATTTTTGATGAAGATCTATGGTGCCCAGCACCCCTTGGGGCTCGATGTCAGGGAAGACGCCTCCTCTCCCGCAGGGACTGAAGACTCCCACCTGAATGGGTACGGGAGAGGCATGGCAGAGGACTACATGGTCCTTGACCTGAGCACCACCTCCAGCCTCCAGTCCAGCAGCAGCATCCATTCCTCCCGAGAATCCGACGCAGGCAGCGACGAGGGCATTCTTCTCGACGACATTGACGGGGCGAGTGACAGTGGGGAGTCAGCACACAAGACCGAGGCTCCTGCCCTCCCTGGCAGTTTAGGGGCCGAAGTTCCAGGATCTCTGATGTTCAACAGCTTGTCCGGGAGCAATGGTGGGATCATGTGCAACATTTGCCACAAAATGTACAGCAACAAGGGGACTCTGAGAGTGCACTACAAAACTGTGCATTTGCGAGAAATGCACAAGTGCAAAGTCCCTGGTTGCAATATGATGTTTTCCTCTGTGCGAAGCCGAAACCGGCACAGTCAGAACCCTAATCTCCACAAAAACATTCCCTTCACTTCCGTCGATTAGTCTCAGAACGGACATTACAAATGCCAGCTCTCACCAGATGGCCTACATATCTGAACTGCCATAGTCAGTGTGTGCTTGTGTACTTGGGGGGGGTGTGTGTGTGTGTGTGTGTACATATGTACGCCTCTGTGTCTACATATATATATACACACACATCTTTTCTTTAGATATAAAAAGATAAACACTAGGTGCTTTTGAAATTGTTTTCTTTTTCCTTTATAGTTTTGGGAAAGGGGTGGGATCTTTAATTTGGGGGTGAAAACAAAGTACCCTTAAAACACACATACACACACACATACACACATAAAGTGTGCAACTAGCCCAAATTCTGAAAGAATAAGAATTCTTGGTCCTCTCCAGAGGGACAATTTGTTGTATCCATGACTGTTGCCTGCAAAAAAAAAAAAAATTAAGGGGAAAAAAAAAAGAAACAAAAAAGGAACTTCTTATAGTTGTCTTTTGTGAACTTTAAGGTTTTGAGAGAATCTTCAATTAAAGCATGGCAGATTCACCTGTAAATATTTAGCCTTGAGAGGCCAATGATGTAAAGCAATTGTATTGATGGTTGTTTAACTCTTTTGTTTAATTTTTACAGTTACATCCAGCTGTTAGATATGCAGGAGAAAAATAGTTTGCTGGCTAGCTCTACTCATTTATGTTAGCATTAATGCACATTTTTTTTTAAAAAAAAAAAACATGGTCTTGTTTTTACTACCTGCTAGATATAGTGATAAAGAGGTGCTGGCATGCTTTACAGCACAGATCGGATTTTTTAAAATGTCCTGTACTAGTACATAAATCCAGTCATGCACTTTTTTTCATACACTACAAGGGGATGTGTAATATCCATGCTTTTTTATCCTTAAACTATTGCCACACTTCAAGTAAGTGTCTTTTTAAAAAAATTCACTTGTATAAAAATGGTCTGGTCAGTATAGGGCACAAATGCCAAACAAAAGTATTAGTGTTAACACAAAACTGCCAACTTTGCACAAGTTTCCAGAAAAGAAAATACAATTAGTCACTCAACATAACCACAGGCCAATTTGTCGGCCACCAGAAAACCGCTTTAAAAAAAGAACACTTGGTGATTCTTTCAAGTGCCGAATGTTATTAGAATCAACATGGCATCCTTCTTTGCTTATATGTTAAGTTACATAAAAGGAAGACACAATTACATGGTGTGAAACAGCCAAGGCATTTACTCTTCAGAGGCAGGATAATATTTCAGGATACAAAAGCCCAAATTACTCACTATGGAACAAAGCTGAATATAGTAAAAGTGTTGAACACTCATTTCCAAGGACCTAACCCTTCTCCTTTAAAAAGAAAGAAAGAAGTCTGCACTGGGTTGGTCTGTTGTATGGCTGTCTAATTTGTTGCAAGTTCTGCAGTAGTCCTATGATTCAGGCCTGTTTGATAGACAAAATCAAAAGACATTTCACAGCGGCAGTACTTGGAAGCTTTGAAAACATGTGCTGAACTTGAATTGAGCAACAAACACTCCTTTCTGAAAAGCCAGACGAAGGGGGGTTTAAAATAGGATCTCTCACTGTTGAGTGTTTTGTGTTTCCCCACATGATTTGTCAGAGAGAAATGAAAGCAAGCCTGAAACCAAGCAATTGAGAGTGGGAAAGAGAGGGAGACGATTCTCCAAACCTTTTTTGTTTTTGTTTTGTTTTGTTTCCGATGTTTACACATGTTGCCTGAGCTGGTTAACCACATGGGCAGCCCTCAGCTACCACAACATACTGACTAAATGATGATATTTACTCAAGTTCAGTCTGCAGCCAAAACCATTAGGACGTGCATTGCAGACTGTGTTTTGTTGTCTGTTTTTTTCTTTTTTTTTTTTAAGTGGAGGGGGGAAAGACAGATAAACAAGGAATATTTTGTCTAACAGTACACAATAATTTAAAGAGAATGTATTTCTTTTCTGCATTTAATGGCCTCAAACATTTCTCTCATCGGTCTCAAAGTTAGAAATACCCCCTTTGTTTGAACTTTGCATGTTGTTTCCATTTTTCATATGTTTTGTAATTATTTTTTCTATGTTCACATCAGCATTCACTTCCGTTAAATTTGCCAAAGGAAACTGTTAATATGTTTCTGTTGTTGTTATTCCTGTAGGATTTATTGTACCTCACAGTATTTATTATTTCCAAAAATAAGCATCATTAGTTGAGGATTCAGTATTTTTATTTGTAAAAATTTCAGAAACAATAGATTCTTAAAGATAAGCTAGACTTGTCTAGAAGCTTCGTCTTTTCATCTCCTTCAGAGGATGCTATGGGGCTCGTTTAATTCATTTGTTCGCCAGTGAGGAAAGACCAAAAGTATTCGCAGTACAAAAGAAACCATATCAAACACTATGTTAAATGACAAATGTTTACGGTAAAAAGCTGAGGAATTAGTAATAACCATTTTTGTTTTCTTGTACCTTTGAATTCCCCAAAGTCTTAATTGCTTTATTTTGGTGTTGTGTTAAATTGAATAGACAGAGATGTTTTCCTTTGTTTTATACCATATAAGACTATGTACAGTATGTTTGTGAAAAATTGAACTAGAATAATGAAAGTTTGTTTGCAAACCTTTTGGTCCTCTTAGCGTTCTCTGTGTTGCGCTGTTGGCCCACTACCAGAAGATTCGAGTCAAAAAGGGTGGAAAAAATATTCTTTAGTATCCCAACAAAAGATTAGGGAAACACTGGCTTTTGGATTGTGACAGATGGAATTACACCTAGTTTTATGAAAATAACACATTTTTATTTCAGTGATATTTAAAAAGTTACACTCTTGGTTGAGATATTAGAACTCATCTTGTACAGAATCAATGTTTAGTCTGTTTAATTTAATGTCAACTGAAAGGTCAAATAGCCCTAGTGAGTGAATTACATAGCTGTCAGCAGGTCACATCAGCAAATGAACGGGGCTTAGAACAAATGTTTGTTACTTGCCACAAACTGGGCTAATGTGAATAGCCAGTTAGAACTGTCCAGAGGCAATGAGATTCTCAAGGTAGAATTTCCCTTGCTCGGAAACATGAATGTGTTCGCCTGAGATTTGTCAGAGAAATGGCCGTGAGTCCTGGACAACTGGCTCTTTTTTTAAGTGTCTCCCCTATTTGCTACTACTTTTGTGCCTCAAGTGCCCAGATGTTATGGTGGCCTTCTAAATGGGTGAATAACACCTTCCAGTATAAAGCCTGTTTGCTTAAAAAGGGACCGGGGGAGTGGATGGAAGCGAAGTGGTACATAAAGTGTAACATTATGAAATGTACTGTGCTTCCTGTCCCAAAGTGTTGCTTGTTCTTGGGTGTGTGCCTGAGTGCAGTGTTTTGACTTAACTGTAAATCTAGTTAGGACGGTGATCCCAAGGCTTATTTGCAAACGGGAAGGAAAAAGAGACCAGCATTTTAATCATTGGGCCCTTCGTCTTTGTCCATTTCTACTCATTTGTTTTTTCATAGGAGTTTTCTATTGTGTAACAGTTTCTCTCGAGCTGCATCCATTCTGTGCTGCTGAAAATTAATAGCGATGCAGATTTTCATCTAAGCAGCTTTTTCGCATTTGATTGATTTTAACCACAGTTTTGTCACAGGTAGACAATGAGGCAGTATTATTAATGTGCATGTTCACTAGCTGATGTTGAAACTTACTGTTTTGATCATTTTAAACTATGTTTTTGTACATATCAGAAAGGCTTAGTCTGCTTTAGAGAATATCTGCATGCTGCTGGAGGGGGACGACAAAGAGCGAGGGAAAGGATAGATGATAAGTAATTTGGTTTTAAAAAAAATGTGATTAAAAAGCTTGACATTCTTTGTTCTGCTATTAATTGTATTGAGATAAGTCAACGCAATGTAACACATCTCAGATCTTAGTCTAGCTGTCCAGTTCAGCCCGATGACTTTTAAAGGTTTGAAGGTATTAATGTTTTGCTTCTCAACGTGACAAACATCTTTTTTGCAAATGTTTTTAGCACAATGGTGCCACTGTCCTTGTAGTGCAATTTCTTTGGTCATGAATTTCCAGGTCCTTCCAGTAAGAGGAGAAAGACACTTAACTGGTTAACAGCCCTGTTAGTGTATACATTGCTCTCAAAAAAACAACAACAACAAACAAACCTTTGACTATACTAAGAATAAGCTGTTGTTTCAGAGGCATTCTTCCCATTTTACTCAGGAGAAACCAAGCATTAGATTCCCACCAAATAAAAAGTGACCTTTTGTTCCCCTCCCTACGTACACACCCCAAATGTGTACCAAGCAAATGAGAATGGGGGCCACTGGCAATTAAAACATAAAGAAGCCAGTAACCAGAGTGGGGTGGACATGCTGCTAACTGCTAACAGTTGACCTGAGCAGTCCTAACTTGTACTCAGTCTGTTAGTGTTGGATTGGATTGACTAACAGAGTAAATAAAACTCAGCTGTAATAAGACACACTACATCTGCTATCATAAAGAAACAAATCATCCAGAAGAAACTTTCTTTTATCCCCTGGACACACTCCTTAACTTTTAAACAATTACAATAAATTTCAGTCTTTAAAAACTTGGAACATTTAAATTAGAGGATGTTGCTTCTCCCTCCCATGCTTTGTCTTTTAATGGGAAGGATCTAAATGTGTAAGGAGGGCAATAAAAGGCAAGTGCCAAAAAGACTGGAGGGAATGAGTTTTTCCAAAAGCAGAGCAAGGGATACTAAGTAGGGGATTGGTACCTGCCCCGGTCTGGGGTAGCTAGAAAAGAAAATAGTGAATGAACCCGAAGTGTTTGTGCAAAAGAAAGGTCTGGTACAATTGTGCCTAGCAGCGGGCGAGAGCATATTGATGCACCGCCCCGAAGAGCTCCCTATGACCAGGTGCCCCATGGCACCCCAGTCTGAGGAACAGGAGAAAGCAAAGACAACTGCGTGGAATAACAGGTTCCTTAATGGGTCAGAAGAGCCAACAAGGACAGTTGTGGGGGTTTTTTGTTTTTTGTTTTGTGGGTGGGAAGTGATGCTGGAGTCCCTTAGGGAAGCAAAGAGATGTGATGGGTCACCTAGGTTATAGAAAAGGCTGGTGGTCAAACTGAGCTCTTAAATGTATTTCTCCATCATGACTTTTGCTTGCCCCTGTAGCCATGATTGTAATGCCACTTGGCCAAAGACTTCTTGATCAAAATGTGAGCTCATTTACCTTCCTGTGAAGCATAAAAGTAACTTTTCTGTTTTCATGTTTTCCCTCAAAGGTAAACCATGTGGCAGTCTTCCTCGTGTTAGAATTACGACCATATCTGATGTGTCTTGGACTCATTTCTCTAGTCCCTGTAGTTGGAGAGTTGCTCCCCATTTATGGTAACTTGCAATTAGTGTTTATAAACCCAGCTGTAAAACTGACAGCTGAATTAGTCTACATCACTCTGGCCCAAACACCCATCCTTCCTTGTGTCCTTCCATCATCCCCCTTCTTTCCACATCTTGCCCAAGATGATGTTTGTGGTCATGTGACAATAACGACATCAGATACTGTCTTTGGGCATTTGTTAAAAACTCCAAATGCCTAATAAAGGTTTTTTTTTTTTAAATGAGCATTTTTACAAGTACATCAAATTGGATCTGCATTATTGTTCATTATAATGCTATATATATATTTTTGAAGCAACATTCTATTGTTATAAAACATCCTTATTTTCTAAAGTGTTATTGTAAATTCATTTGACCTTTACTGCAAAAAAAAAAAAATCGTTTCTATATAGAGTATCAAGACAAGGCTCAGTTTGTAACAAATAGTGGACCATTACAAAAGAGGAAAGGAAAAAGCTGGGGCTGAGCAGCGAGAAGCTTCAGTTCAATTTCACCTCATATCTTTCTAATAACTTACTTGTCACTTTATTACCTTCCAGTAATGTGAATGCTGCTGACAAGACTGTCACACTAACAGCAGACAACACCCTCTCTGCTTCAGCCCCAGCTCTCCTGGCTACTTATTGCCCTGGCCCTGAAGGGACACAAACTAATAGTGCGCTTTCCAGTTCAGCACTTGGCCATCAAATATAAAAGGATGCGTAATTGCCTGTTTATCCCTTGTGAAGGGGAAATGGAGTACAAGGGCTCAGCTTTCCCACTGAGTTCCCTGATGTACACACACAGTCACAATTCTCCCTCTCTTTCTTTCCTTCCCACTCCCTCTCTCCCTCCCCTCCCAACATACAAGTGTGCACGCGCGCACACACACACACACACACACACACACACACACACAACCTACTAAGCTGCGTCTTTGGTAAGCCCAAGGCTGCCTCTCTGATGCCCTCTCCAACTATTAAGTGGACAGTAACAAGATGACTTCTTAAATAAAGGGTCAGCAGAGAGACCCCGTGACAGCATTCTTTGTGTCTTTAGAAACTTAAGTATTGCAATTCCATGCCCACTCATTTAAGGAGTACTGGGTGTGCCCCCCCCATAGCTGGAGCAAAATTTCCCACAAGTCAGTGGCAGAGCAGAATCAGCTCACCCCATATTCTGGAAGGAAAGCATTACGATATTTTCCTTTCCCTTCCAAAAGTGTGTATGTTGGAGACAAACTGGTTGTGCATGGTGGTAAGCAAGTACCTTGAAATGACCACCTCGGAATCCATAGTGTAACATGAGAGCTTAACCTTGATTTTGTGAGACTGGACTGACAATCTAAAAAAAAGCGGGGGGAGGGGGGGGGGGGGTAAAAAAGGGGGGGGGGGGGGGGGGGGAGGTGATGGGACTTTTTACTTTAATCACTAAAACAGGAACTACCCTATATGTAAAAGGTAAATTCTCCACTTTGGGAGAATTTTGATAACTACAAGTATAGTGAGCTTTACAGACTCAAGTGACATGGGGACAAAAGGTACAAAGGAGGAACACACGAAAATGTTGTATTCCAAAATACCTTGAGCCCGAATTACGTGTAAGTAGTGGTTGCTGTTACTGTTTCGTGAACTGTTTTGAACTGCTCGATAATGGTTGGAAAGTGGCTAGGTAGTGACTAAGTGAAGCGCAAGATCGATTTGTACGTCCTCTCTAAGGAGCCAGGAGACTCCGTGCCTCCTCCCTGCCCTCTGTCTGGTAGCAGGTGTGACAGAAGTTCTGACACCCCCCCACCCCCTGCTGTGAACAGTCACATGGCAAATGTATTTGTCAAACAAATGCCATGCATGCAGGTGTCATCTTTGATGTGGACTTTTGGAGAGAGAAAAGCAGGAGACTTAGACATAGAAAGCTTAACAGGTCTTTGTTGACAAATTTGTGCGAAATAATTTCATTAGCCTGTCTGAGGACTGGGAAGAAAAGCACTTTGAGCGAGGATTCTTGGGGTCAGAGAAAAAGCAGTTGGCTTGATGTTGTTTAAGTTCCCCCAGTATGTATATATTACAATCATTTATCAAACATATTAATAGAATCTTAAATGAATTAAAAACTCAGTTGCCAAAATTGCACAGAATCTGCTAACTAATATTAGCTTTCCCCCTTGAAATAACAGGGATGCTTGAGGACATTTCTAATGTTTTTTTTTTTTTAAGTTTCATTTAAAAAAAAAAGAATCTTTGAAGGGAAGGAATAGCAGAAAGAG